CTATAACTTTAATCATATGTACATTCTAACAGTGAAAGACAGAATCCCAAAGAAAATTCCAGAAAATCACATCATATGAATTTATAAAAATTGATAACCATCTGATGAGGAAAAATAAGCATTCTTTGTAAGTGGGCAAACCTGCAAAATCAGCAAGGGCTCAAATACTTATTTCCCCCACTGTAAGTCTAGTTTTGATGGAGCCTATGCTTCTTTGTTAAAGATTGTTTGCAGAATAAATGAAGCATTAGCACTGTTTCCTCTCTTTCAATGCCAGAATCTCACCTACTTTTAACCTCAGACTGTCACAATAATTGATCAAATGTCAGACTGCTTTTATCTATCAGTTTTAACCTGACCATACAAGACATAATAGATTTTCCTAACAATCAACCAGTGTTGGGTAAGTTACTTTAAAGATGTAATCCGTTACAGTTACAAGTTACCTTGTTTAAAATGTGATTGTAATGTAACTTTTTCGATTACTTTTAAAAAGTAATGTAACTCATTACTTACTTACTTTAAGGTTTTAATGAGTATTGACCCATGATTAATTTTAGCATGTTATTATTAGCTATTGGCCGCAGCTAGCAGTTCAAGGCTAACGTCTTGTTAATGATCATAAACAACGTAAATAAATACATAAATAAATCGGAGACAAGGGGCAGCAGGTCAGTCGTATCCGGATACAACATTTTAGTATCTATACTTTTTTAAGTATCAATACTTTTGACAACCCTAGCCTGAAATGTAGGACATGTCCGGGAAAAAGAGGACGTCTGGTCACCTACAGTTGGCTAGGCTAGGTAGGCTAGGCTAGGCTAGGTAGGCTAGGCTAGGCTAGGCTAGGTCATAGACATCGATAAACGTTTGTCATGCATCAACACCAAACAGTCAAATATTAGTAAATCAATACGCTTCGTCTATCAGTGAGTTGCATATTTCGCAAAGGTTTTTCTTTATGTTTAAAAAAAAATTTAACTAAATTTGTAATTCTTAATATTTTCGGAAGTACCTGTAACTGAATTACATATTTTCTCATTGTAACTGTTACGAATTTCTTTTTTTGTAATTAAATTACGTAACGTCGTTACATGTAATCCGTTACTCCCCAACACTGCAATCAACACATACCGAACCGAACCCAAAACCGTGACACCACGAAACCGTGAACCGAACCGAACCGTGGGTTTTGTGAACCGTTCCACCCCTAACTACCCGGTTTAGTTTAGTTTAGTTTTATTAGGATCCCCATTAGCTGCCAAATAAATGGCCACTAGTCTTCCTGGGGTCCTATATGAAGACATTATATTATATTATAAACAGATCATACAAATAAAAATAAAAGTCACAGTAGGAAATAACAAAAACATAAACGAGAGTAGACTATACAACATATACACACAGGTCAGTTCATGTTATCATTTGCAGTAGTTCTGAAGACACAATATTTTTGTCCTTGTACAGTAGCAGGATACTTCCATTCCACGATGCTGATGCAGGCTTTGCGGATCGGGTTCTTCAGCGTCAGGATGAGCAAAGAGCGTGCAGGTCTGGGGTTTCCCCCGGTGGCCATCAGCTTCTTCAGCTTCTCCTTTTGTTTTCTTTTCAAAGTCTCCTCGTCCATGATGTAGGAGGCCAGTGGCGGGCCGCTGTTCTCCGCCATTGTAACTCCAACAGAGTATGGATCCCAAGGCTATAGCGATAAATACCAGCGTTATATCGATAAATACC